ACACACCTCTGCTTCGTCACTTGCGCCTGCACCAGCGCCGCCTTGGAGAGGATCCTGGCCTGCCGGTGATGGGACGCCTCCTGAGCCACCGCCACCCTGCACCTGATTCATCAGCCAATAAGCGAGCATGCAAAGCATTGCAGACTGCAGGATATATCAAGATGGCATCTCCCCAGAGAATCAGTAGAGACAGGTGCAGCAACTAGGAGGGGTGCATTTTACCTGCAACTCGGGGGCTTTGATTTGGGCAATCTCCTGCTTGAGGGCCCCCGTGGACTGCCGCAGTTGTGCCAGCAGTCGAGCAGCCCTCCTATGCCACTCAAGCAGCTGCTTGGGCAACCTGCGCTCCTTTTTTCGCTGCCAAGCCATCGCCTGCACATGGACCAACATTGTCACTTCTCGCACCTACAGGGTTACAAACTGCAACATCGAGCAAGGCTACAAGAGCTTGCATCATATGAAAGGAGAACTCACCAGGTCCGTCATGTAGTCCTCCCGCGTGGCAGTCGCCATGCGCTTCAAGATGTGTGCAAATTTCCTGTAATGTGCCCAAGCCTGTTCAATGTTGTCACCAAAGGAGTTTCCTGCCGCTAGCATGCGGCGGGCGCCATACTTTTCTTGGCATGCCGGAATGTGAGCCTTCACATGCCACGGCCCCACTGCCAGGCCAGGCATACCCTCCACGTTTCCTTGAACCATCCTGCCAGCACAACACATCACCATTCAAAGGGGACGCTGCTGTGCACTCCGACGAATCCACACACTCATAGCATGACTAGTACTAGACACTAGGAGTGAAATTGTTCCATGCAATAATTGTACAGGGCACATCTTGACGTAAACGCCAGGCATGATGGACGAAAGATTATACCTTCGCCAATATGGGTCAAACTGGCAAGCAATGTCAATGAAGAAGTACTTCAGATCCTTGCCCTCCTCAGGCTTGAACTCCTTCAGCAGACGCTGCAGGAGCAACTCGTAGTAAACAAAGCACTCCGGTGTGAACAGGTTTGCCGCCACGAGAACATACCCGTGGCGGCAAACTGCTGCTGCCACGCCCTACGCACAAGCACATGCGGGAGTGTCAGACCGGCTCCAAAGCACCAGCACATCTTCTTGTTACACGCTTTCCTGCCAAGCAAGGTACATCCTGCAGAGCTGCAATTTAAGGCTGCCATAACCCTACCCCTTGTTGAACTCGCCAGATCCAAGCAAGACCCAATCAACCGTGGGCATGGTATTCAGTATTTTTACCACCTGAAGCAAGGCACGCTAGGGTGCTGCCAAGTATTACCCTTGCCAGCCGGGGCCAGGAAAAAAAGAGAAAAAAATCATGGATATATGAGATGCATGCCAACATCAGTAAGCGCAACAAGATCCCAGAAAAATGCGAGGAGACTCACTTGCACATATAGGCGCAGCTGCGTGTCTGAGGCGGTTGGCGTGGCAGCAACGAACTGAGAGCAGACCGGCCGCTCCAGCGCCGCCGGGTCCAAGGCCTTCCGTTGAGCGAGCAAGGCCTTCACCTCTTCATCAGCAATGAAGGGGCTATAGGGCAGCTTCGGCTGCAGGAAATCAGAGGCTTTGCCCGCCGCCCTGAGCTGCGTGAGTCCCAGGCAGGCGTCAGCAATGGCTGCCACGCAAGTGCGAAAGCAGCAAGGACACTGCACAGTGGGGCCCCCGGAGGCACGACTGTCCAGAGATTCCTGGGTCGCCGGGCCCACCTCAGCTGCATCTCTGCCAGTTTGAGCCGCGAGGCTGCCTGCTTCCATTTCTGGTGGCGATGACGACGCTGCTGCTTCCCTCTGAGTGTTCTCCTGGGGCGGCGGCGGCTGGCCGAGCTGCAAGTCTGAGTCACCGCTGAGCCCTGCCTCCGAACAGATGGGCTGCACGCCAAGCCTGTTGAGGTCATGTGTGGCGATGTCCATTCTGCGCCACTGTCTGACCGCCACTGGGAGGTTCCTCCAGATATTTTTGGGCAGGCCACTCAGTTGCCCGTACGGCACACAGCCGTTCCTGACGTGCACCTCCTCCAGGGCGCTAGTCCAGGCGACCATTGAGGTTGGGCTGGCGAGGCTGAGCTCATGCGTCTGCAACATGAGCGCTCCAGAGTAGTAAACCAGCGGCCTCTGTGGCGTTGCAGGAAAGCATCCCATGCTCACAGGATCGACTGTGAAGGCGGCACTGCACCCGCCACACCTGAATGCTGGGGGGCTGACCTCTGTCCTGCCGCTGATCGAGACATACACAAGCCTGCTGATCGTCTCCACCTGCTCCCACACTGATCCCACCCTCCCAGCCTGACTGCATGGACTGCAAGCGGGCAGGGCTGCTCTGGCAGCTGTCAAAAACTCTGCCTGCAGCTGCTGCTTCAGTGCTGCTTGGCGTGCAGGCTGACCAGCTTGGAAACATGTGTTCCTGAATACATTGTCATCAAAGCACGCATCCCATGCTTGGTGCAGCCGTCTATTATCCTCTTGAGCTGCCTGTTTCCGCAGACGCCGGCGTGAGGGCGGAGGCTGATAATAGGCAGCAGCGGCTTCTCCATCTCCATCTGCAAAGCCATCCTGCTGTTCTTCCTGCTGAGCTGTGTTTCTTGCAGGGATCCGCCAGGATGGAAGGGCGCTGGCCGGCCTCCGGGGTCCCCTCGGTGCAGATGTTGCCACAGTGCTGCCTAGGTTCCTCCCAAATCTGCGGCCTGGCTGCAGCAGAGCAGGAGTGTCGGCTGATGGTATCACCTTGACACTGACCCTCCACCTCTTGTTCCTGACCATTCGTCCTGCATGAAGTCATCACACAACGGTTTCTGCAAGTGATCCACCAGGACATTAAAGGAATGAGAAGTACATCAGCAGCATGCCTTCTAGTACAAGTGATACAACTATCCTTACAAGCACCTGGGCTACTTGCTACTCTTTGGGGTGCACAGTCCTCTCCAGATGCTCCTCATCAGATTGGCATTCCAAGCAAAGCCAGGTCAGGGCAGACACCCACGGCTACTCACAGCAGCAGAGGGATCGTAACGCTCACCAGAACAATTGAACTTGATGTTGGTTTAGATTGTAGACGACTTCAGTGTCTGTCCGGTGCATCAGTGCTCAATTCAGGTGAACGCTCTGTGTTGCCTGCACGCATTTCATTTCAAGGAATTGGCTTGGCAGGGCATGCAGTCACTACGAAAGAAGTAGACATGCACGTCGATGGTCGTGACATTCGATTAGCTGAGTCCAAACAAGTCAAGGATGGGGATGCCAAAAAACCGGCAAAAGTGCGAACCTCACATGGCCAGCGACAGAAGACTTCAAGAATTCGTTTAAATTACTCCCATAAACATTTGCGGCCGTCCCACCCCCCTTTCAAATCCTACTTTGCAACGGTAACCTGGCAAATGGCATTGCTGTCTTCGCAGAAACGAGTAGCGCACGATCCTATAGATACAGGCTTGACCGAAATAATTAGCTTGACGGAGGTACTATGCAATGCTGAGATTGTTGTAGGTAAATCTGAAGGATGTGCAGCATTGCTTTTGTTATTGCACGCCCCGAAGGGGCGTGCTCAGAAAGAGAGCCAAATCCACTAATGTAGTGGAGTGCATGTCCACCAAAGTAGTGGATTTTGCCCGACAGAGTAGGATGCACGGCGAGCTACGGAGCGGTGCAGCATCTTTGTCAAGTATCTGAATTCCCCGCGAAAAGGCTTGCGAGGAAAGTTCGTGCAGATACTTGTGCGAGGAGCATCTCTCCTGCTTGCGTAAACCCATCTTCGGCGCGCAAGCCTGCCATTTTATTCCTAGGGTGGAATACAGGTGCCGTTCTCAAGACCTCACCTCACCATGCATTGAACAAGATGTCCGCGTAAATTCGCTTCAACTTGGCGATCGCGACGCTTTTAGAGCCTGTGGTTCTTGTCTACACACCAGAGACCAATTTGGCGTGTATCGAGGTCCCAAACTGCGGCGGTTCTGGGCCACAACTTGCTTTGCCCTTGGAATGGATTATTCGACCGGACTTTCCAAGTCTGACCAGAAGAGCAACAGCGACGCAGTGGGCCACTTGAACCGCCTTGACAATTTTGTCTTCCCATATGGACGCGTTGTCCGGTTGTTTGGGTAGCGGCAAAGGGCTGGAAGACGAAACGGATGTTAACGCCTCTGTGGATGTTGGACTGCAGGGGGCCCGTCGCACCCTTCTGACCGTCTACACTGCCACGTAAAGACAATATAAGGCGCAAATGCCAGGAATCCTCGTACTTTACTGTGCCATCGGACGATCGTGGTGGGCATGTAGCTGATGCAACAGTCAAACGTGTCCAGACTGAGCTGAGGTCCGTCCCGATCTTGCTCAGCGATCGCCAAGATGTGTTCTTTACTTCCAGGGATGTCCGATCATACCGAGCTTTTACCTTGTTGGGCAGTTTATGTGCGCTGTTCGTCATTATTGCTCACGTAGTACAACCCTGATGGTGCGTGGTGAGCACCTGGCTGGTGCCGTGAGGAAACGCAGTCAAAACCTGCTATTGAGGCAACCTCCCGCACCCTGGTTTGCCCTGTTCTTCTCAAGTTCTGCTCAGGTTCTTGTGAGCAAGGTAATCCCTGAACCCTCGTCCCCATGCATCGGCCATCGAGGGTTTTAACGGACAAAGAAGCTAATGACACAGACTTGTACCCTTTTGGACCATCCACTGTGTCTTCTGCCCTGGTACTGGCCGGCTGGTCCTTACTGTGGTGCGCTTGTACCGCAGATGAAGAGCCCTGAGACTGGTCCCCATCCAGCCATGAGCCCAGGAAGACGTCCTGCACCAAGAAGCCTCAAACGTTGATGATGGCAGAAGAAGCTGCTGGACATAGCGACAGAAGTCCGTCTCGCCACCTTTCCGAAATAGAGAGCGCTGCTGACTCAGCAGATGTGCAGTCCAGTTCAGAGCACAGGAGCGGGCAGCACATGTCTGTGTCAGCACAGCCGGACCGCGCAAACCAAGAGCATGATGTACACAGGCCAGATATGGGTGGCAGCATCTCTCCAAGGCCCAGGCAGCAGGAGGCAGATGAGTTCTCTCGCTGCAACACCCCCCAGCAACCAGGTATCCTATCCCTCTAGACACCAAATTACGCCTCTAGACTGTTAGCATTGTGTTGCTGCATTCGCAGTGCCTCCAGTCAGCAGCGTTACAAAGCTGTGAAGCAGGAGACAGGGCCTGGCATCTCCTGCCAAGCTGAGGATTCCCTGCATGACCAGGCATTCCTGCTGTGTGTCTGTTTGCCGTGACCAACAGCATTCTGTGCCCACACAACGCTGCCTACATGGTTATTGAAAAGCACAGGTTCTTCTAATGGCCCGGCTTTCATCAGCAGGTAGTTGACATCTTCTTGTCCTCCCTGCGAGCATGCCTTGAGGCATGAGGGATGCTTGGAGTTTGCCTACCTGCAGTATTATTAATTTTCTGAAACACCATTGTATTGCAGTGCCGGGATTCGCGTGCGGGCTGGAGTCTTTGATGCAGGCGGCGTGGCAGGTGCCCTTCCCCAAAAGCAGCCTCCTCGGCCGCAGCCCCCGAGCCGCCGGGGCATGCGCAGCCGACTCGAGCCACAGCGACGGCAGGTCTGAACCATTTGTATTAGTGTTCAGAATTTTGTTGGCTCACTTGCATGCAAAAGTGCATACGGCATTGCAATGAAGCAGTGCCTGAATATTTTCTGGCCGACATCCAAGCGACCCGCTACGGGCTCCGAGCAGCAAGAAAATGTAATCAATGAAGGAATAAGGATCTTTGATTGCTTTTGTATCTGTGGTGCAGCAATGCTGTGCTGCGGGACTTTGGGCTGAACGGGGCTGAGTCGCCGCCGTGGTCCCCTCGGCGGGTTCCCCCGGCGCATGTGTGGGGGGAGGGTCCCCCCCGTGCCCCTGGCTACCGCTCCGGCGGCGCCTGCTACCCCATCGCCTCCCCAGGTGTGATTTCGATATCAAATCAAACCTGTAATACACCTTTCAAGGAAAAAGTTGTGAAAGTGAGGATTGCAATGTTGAGGGTGCATCACGTGCACGTGCCACATAGTACGCCCCTCCGTAAATTACTGTCTCGGTCACATCTGAAGTGAAAGCTAACTAGCTTTTGGAAGCAACTGACACTGCTTGTGTACCAGCACTTTTCTGACTGCTACTTCCATCTGGCATCTTCTGAGGAATACTGCACGAAATCTTAGTAGCTTCAGGAGCACAGCTTCCACCCCACACAGAGCCGCCACAGAACATGCACCCCCTCAAGGAACAAACTTTTGTACACATTACGAGGCTGATCAAGCGGCCTTTGTTATATGCCTTTCCTGGCAAGTACTTGAGGATGCAACAACACGTTGGTTGTCAGTACTCATTTCAGTTTGGACCTCTGGGCTCAGCTTCCCACCCAGAAAGAGCCAGGACACCCGATCGGCAAACTTGGAGGTCCCAGGCATTGTTGTGCATTAAAAAGCCGAGTAATGGATCGGTGTGCAAGCAGGAGTGAGTGCGGCAAATTTGGTAGAGGCTGCCTGCGAGCTGCATGCGCTGCTGCAGAGGCGCTCGGCTGCCGGCTTGGGGCCGTTAATTGGCGCGCAAGGTTACCTCACGCCGCCTGCCGACCCGGGGATTTACCCCGACAAGGGTGAGTCACGCATGTAAAGGAGATCCACTCGATCTAGTGGAGCGCAAGCAGAAATCTGCCCCTCGGTTGTTATGGCCTGCCCAAATGCAAATTTTGCTGCGGGCACTGGAGAGCTTGAAACAACAGCAAATTCACGGATAGAAGAAGAATATAGCCTTGGAATAATTCAAGTAAGTGCATACGTGCGGTGACTCTAGTTAACCCTGAGGTGCCAGTTTGACCTCCTAGCAAGGATGCACTTGTAGGAAAGGCATGGATGCAGATTTGGTCGTCCTGTGACCCGCTCATTGTATTGCCATTGCACAATGTCCACATGCAGGACAGCCCTTTCAAGTACCTCTGTCGCTTGAATGGCCTGCGTTTCTTCAAATTATTTGACTCATCGACCGGGCCCAGATGGATCTTGCACCATTTGCTGTATCCACGTCCTGAGTACAGTACAGGAATTTTTTTGCATGGACTCCAGAAATTTTTGATTATGTTCCTTTTTGCAGAGGAGGCAACGCCGCCGCCGCAGCCGGACCCAGCAGCTGTCGGGAATCTGCCGCCAATTCATCTTCTCACGGCGAGCCATACACCCTCACCTGGCCCGGGGAGATGTCCCGCTGCAACACTCCCCCCGCCCGAGGGGGCGACTGCACCTGCGTTGCTGAACAGCCCTCAAGGTGCGTGGAATACTCACAAGTTCCAATCTCTATCTTCTGCACATATGATACTTTGTCTCTTCCCCGGGTGCAAGTGCTTCCCGTCGTTTCTGTCAGCATAGCCTGCAGATGAGCGAGCTTCCTGAGCCATTTGGCTGGCAGCGCTGCCTGTGATTCTGTCCCTGCACGGCCCAGACAGCGCTTATCACACTGCAATCCTCCTCTGGGATTGGGTAGTTCTGCTAGTAAGTGGTATTGCGAGTGGGTGTGACGTGGCAGAATGTGACTGCACAGGTGTGAAGCGACAGGCAGCGTGGCAGTGCGGCAATGACTCACAGCTTTCCTTTGGAGACCGCATCGACGCTGCCACGGCAGATGAGGTGATGCCCAGAGCTCCAGCCGACCATTCCACTAGAGCCTGCATGCGATTGCTCAAGACTTTCTAGGAAGTTTATTGATCAGAAAAACTGCAAGGCCCCTCTGTTTGCGAGTTTTATCTGGTCAAAAGTATTGCCTTCTGGATGCAATTGCAGTGCATTGCAAGGGAGATCCTGGAGTCTCTAGCTTGTAATATTGGTAATACTGCCTTAGCGTGTAAATTGATCAAAGAGATAGGGATATCAAATCGACTTCCATGAGGGTACTAAATACGGCAGGGCAAGGGATGAGAATTGTCAATTTTGCGTGCCGTTCTGAATAACTCTTCCCTGACAGGTGTCGTCGCCGCACGCACTGTCAAGCGCGCACCAGAGATGGGGCAGTGCCCCTCCGGTGCACGAACTGCGCTGCTGCGCTAACCTGGCGGATGACTCAACCAGCGCCGGCCAGCACGCAGCCTCCGCGCTGCCGGACGACCGGCCGACGCGCGCCGCATTAGCAGCAGCCGGTGCTTGTTTTGGCGGCGGAGGGGCCGGTGCCTGTTTTGGCGACAAAGCTGCCGGTGCCTGTTTTGGCGGGGACGCAAAAAATGGCGCAGGGCTCGGTCGCGCGCCGAGCGTGCCGGAGGTGATGGGAGTTTCGCCAATTTTTGCAGATCGGGTCCTGCCGCCAGGGCAGGCCGGCTGTGCTGAAGTGGCGCATGCAGATATGGCCGCACAAGTGAGATGCTGCCTCTTTCTGCATGATCCAAGATCTGCATTGCAATGTGCATGCACTGCCTTTCATGTCTACAAAACTTCCCGTCATTGGTCCAAAGGTCTGTCTTCTGCGCTCTTGCCCTCAGGAGTCCCTGATTTGTCCACTGCGCAGAACTGCACAGGCTGCTCTGCATTAGTTCTATTGGGTATTCACCTGATCAGCCAGTGCTGGTGCAGGGCCAGGCAGCAGAAGCTTGCGCGCAAGAGTGCAGTGCGGCTGCAGACTTCAGAGGGCCTCGCAGGCGAACCAAGCGGCGGCTCTTCTGAAGCTGCACCCAACTTCAGCCGCCTGTGCTGCCCTGCTCCTCGCCAGCATGGGCCCAAGAGGCGACCCAACATGGCATTGTGAAGCTGCGGCACTTGAGACCTCGCTGGTCAGCACAAGCTGACGGGAGGCACCAAGAAGACTGTGTTATGGGGTGACAAGAGGTCCCCCGAGGAACATCAAGAGCCGGACAGAGGGGACTGCTGTACAGAGGCACCCCTCAATTGCAGCCGGGCTGCCGAGAGGCTGTCCACTGCTTTCACCAAGGCCAAATGAAGGTATCCTAGCTCCATCTGGTCCATGTTTTGGGCACAAGAAACACTTGGCAAGCCCACCTTAAGGTTAGGGCCTCGGCTGGCAGAAAGAGGCTTCGACTCTTGTAATATACTGCACCTGTCAACTGAAATGCCCATTTCATATTTTTTGCCGGGGGCCGCTACTGCACTTTTGGTTGTTCTCTTAGTTGTCCGCCTCTTCCTGCCGTGGGTCTTTTGATGTCCTGAGACGTCCATAGACACACCAGGACCTCTCCTTGACGGGCCACTCAATAACGCACGAGGTCCTTACTTAGCACCACCCATTTCCTTAGCGTGAACCAGCTCATTCTCATGCACATGCTCATGAGAATGGGTTCGGGTTTGATCCCCTCACTTCGTCACCAGGATGCTGTGGAAGTCTGCATGTTTTGTTGTGTTCATCTAGAGGGCCGCATGATCATTAGAGACAATTAGAGAGCCTCTAAAGCCAGCACAAGTGTACCAAGAGCACAAGTGTATCAAGAGGAACCAGCTCCTTGTGTGAGCAGGCTGCATGCGTTCATGAGACACTGACAAAGACACCGACAAAGTGTCATCTTCAAGCCAACAAGACCAAGCCGAGGGCGAACTGACAATCTCCTGACGTACCAGAGGATTGCTGCAAATCCCTCTCAAGTGGGAAGCACTGTTTTCTGGTTTTGTCATTGACGCTCAAGTTATGCCAAGAAGCCAGGATGAGCAGACAGAAGATTACTGGCTGTGGGTGATTACGGGCAGACTCCGGCCTGCATACCTTTCAAGTCTAGTTATGCGGTGCTAGGGCAACATTGAATGGCATTTGGGTGGCGTGAAGGTGGTGAGGTGCGGATTCCCTCAAAGTGGGGAGGAGCTTTTTGGATGAGTGCTGACTTCAAGTTTGAATTTGAGATTGGGAGGGCTGCAGCCCAGCTGGGACCTGCAGACATTTATACATGTATAAATAATCGTGTACTGATATTCTTGAGGGGCGCTGGAATTTGATACGGGGCTATGTCTGCCCTGATTGACTTCTTTGGTTCTGTTGTTTGTTTCTGCTTTTTGAACGCCGCCCATGCTGATCACTGTGCAGATCTCTTCTCTTCTCAAGCCACGTGCCATTGCTGTATTTTTTTTCGCTCCATTGCGCACAGCTTTAAGCTGGTATTATTTTGTGTTGTGTGTAAATGAGTTGTGTCCATGTGGTCCGTACATGTTTATTCTAAGGCCACGAGCCCCTTGACAGCTGCTGCACACGCCGCTAGCTAGCCCCATTAACACCTGTTACTTTAATGCCCTTGATGCCAAGTAACGAATTTGGTGTAAGGTCACTATTTCTTCAGTACACTGTGTTGTAAAGATGACGAGGTATTTGCAATTGTTGCTTTTGCTGCATTCCCAAGAGTTCAGATGCAACTGCTCTTATTGAGCTTGCTGCACAGCTGCGGCAGCCTATTGAACTTGGACTTTGAAGGGGTCAGCACCAGCTACCTGGCCTTTATATAGCTATGTGCATGCATGCATCTAGATCTGTGCAGGTGCAGACACGTGTCAGACTCCCGCCCTGTATGCGTGCTTGCAAGTAAAGTGCACACTGCATGCATGCAGCGGCACAAAACGAGAGTCACCCTTCTTCAACTGGCAGTCACTGACAGTGGCACTGGCAATTGGCTTGCACTGATGTCAAGAGTATACTGAAGATCAGGATAAGAATACCGTGTAGACTGAGAGTAGAAAGGAGAAGCTGCATCTCCCCTGTGCAAGGCCATCCAGGATCCCAAATTATGGGCCAGACGGGCTCTGTCATCACATCATGTGGACGAGCTTAGACACTTCTCCAGAAGGTAATTACACCACACATGCATTTTAGCAAGAAATACAAAACAAGGAATCCGGTGACATGCAGATTATTGGCTGACAGTATTCTGCATGCATAGCCATCATGCAGCCCTTGGACAGCGGACCATCATAGTAACTTCTTTCTGCTGCATAGCCTCTACAAAAGGATAAGTCCTCCCAAGTTGCCATTCCCATACTTTTCATGCATTCAAGGCTGTCTTGCTTTGGCACAGCACAGCACAGATATTGGACCTTCAACATCAAACTCTGAATGCAGACTTGCTGCGGGCTTGAAAATATGTTACAGATGTGTCCAGAGGAACTCATGCAGTGGTCTTCTTCTTGGGGCATGTGGCACAGGTACATGTGGGGCCACATGCGCAGTTCTCACCTGCAATTATGAATGTAGCACCTCTTAGGATTTTTGTCAGACCTCTCTACTCCACGCTGCTCAAGAAGTTCCTTCGAGGCGCAGCAAGAAGCTGGCAGTAGAAATTTACAGACCTATGGCACCTGCTGCTTTCAAATTGTCCAAACCAGCAGTCATGAGGGAATTATAAGGACTACTTGGGCTGGCACTATAATCTGGACTTCACAGAAGAATTCTCCAGTGATGGTGTATGGAGATATGCAAGGGATGGCTGCAGGCCTGACAGCACATGAAGCCATGCAGAGATGCCTCACCGCAGGTGCAACCGCTGGCACAAGAGGCGCAGGTGTCCTCAGGCTTGCCGCAGGTCTTGCAGTGGCAATCAGCTGCACACTGGCAGCTGGCGCCTGTACAGGCATAAAGACAATCTTTTAACAATTTGCACAAGTTGTAGAGTATTTTCCGCAGACGTGATGCTATCCAGCACCTCGCCTTATGTCAAGACGTGCCAAGTGCCCTAGTTGACATGCATTGAGCTAATGACCTCAGTATCCCAAACCCTATTAGCAGCAACACCTTTTCCGAACAACAAACTAATATGCAAGTGACAAGTTGCTTTCTTGGGTCAAGGACAAGCATGGCTAGAGCAGGTAACCCAGGATGGGAACCCTGCCGAGTCAGACAGTGCAGTAGAACCCAGATTGCTCGGCTGAGCGAGAACGTCAACGGACAATGAAGGAGTAAGATGAATGATTGCACGATGCGAAGCCGCCTTAGTTGTTCTCATGATCCCGGGTCAAAGGTGGGAAACTCAGAAGTTGACTCAGCACGAGAGACGTACCGCAGGTGCAGCCGCCGGCACACTTCTCGCAACCCATGACGCTTGTATTCGAGATGTGCTGTTTTTCTGTTTCACAAGAAGTGCTTCGCGATCGGTTTTGGCTCGAACCGAAAGCGTCTAGAAAGATCCCAATTGGCGGACCAAGGTCCAGGACCTTGTGCCGGAAACGGCCTCATGTCCAAGAAAGCACATTGAGGGTTTTCTTGCATGTCACATTAGTTTATAATAATAAGAGTAATCTGTATGAGCGGCGAACTCAGAGCCCAGAGGGCCATGGGGCATGCACAGGTCCGTCTGCAGCCGTAACCCGGGGCCGATATGCACAGGCTTTCCGTTTATCTACCATGGCTAATACAGGCTTGCGCTGCACATGCTGCAGATGCATCGATGCGGCAAGTTAGTGATCAGCTTGAGGGCCTCTGGCTCCATGGAGGGAACCCGTCGCTTGCATGCAAGGGCTAATCAAATCTTCTTGCACTGGCGTTGGGAGAGGGACCCCTCTGATTTAGAAGAATTCGAATTCATTAGCCATGCCATCACAACGGCTATCGTGGAATGATGAATACAGGCTTCACAAAGAACGAACACACACCCTGCACATGCCGCTGGATGACCAGCACATACTATGTTACACAGACACACAGTGTCTGCCCACCGCGGCCGCGGCCACGGGCTTGAGAGCTCTCTCCAGTATGGAACAATGCTCGCTGCAGCCTGCAGCTGGCTCTCGAGGGTGACAAATGACGGCCCATCACCAGAAAGAAACAACCTCTCACACATTCACTCTCGCCTGATATGTTTTGCGCCAGAGTCAGCCTCCTTCTTTCACATCTCTGCCCTCGCCCTGTCCAGATATGATGCTTGAATCCAAATTCCCCTTAACATCAATCGTCCTGGCCATGGCATACTGCTGATAAGGTGATCCTCTCACAGATCTGATCAGGGTGCTATAGAGCGCTCTCTAGGGGTGCTGCACCGGCCCACACAGATACAAAGCTGCCTGGGATACTGTGCGCCGGGCCAGAGAAATTCATGGACACATGCTGACTGGGCGTGCTGACATCAGCGGGGATCCTGCCCGGGTGGCGGCACGACGCCGGGGGCCGGGAAAGCATGCGGCGCGGCCGCGGCCGGCGCCGTCCGCGCAATGCGCACACCCTCGTCCCGGGGGAACAAAGCCTTGACCAGCCCCGGCGTCCGCAGCGGCCGCCGCCCGGTCATGCGCGGATACACATCCTCCAGGAAGTAGTAGCAGTGCCCTGCACCCGGCATGCCAGTCACATCCTGCATCTCTTATTAATATCTGCCCCTCTGACACCGATCTTGGCTTTTTCTGACCTGCTGAGCTCTAAAATCTCATCAGAGCACAAGTCTACTGCAATGTGCACGACATGTGCATGTGCAAGACCATGGCCAGTCTGACTGTGCTCCGCTTCTTTTTATTGCCAGCCACAGACTGCATTGCCTGCAAACGGGGTAATGCCAGAACGTCTGCTCTGATACAGCATACTCTTCCCTGTACACCATGGTATCTCACAGCTGTCCTCTACAGGCCCACAATCTCAAATTCACTGCCAGGTTTTGAGGCTGGGAATGATGAGCTGACCTGCCACGATGCCGAGCAGGTCCACAGCTGCGTTGCTGCGCAGGGTAACAGAGAACGCCAGCAGCACCCAGGGCAGGTAGGGCGCTGTAAAATTGAAGATCCCCAGAAAGCTCAGGTTCACATACGGATGCCGCCTCCCCCACACATACACCTGCGCACCAACCATTGCTCAAGTTGGAGCAAGCAATACTGAGTTCTTCCATCCCATTTTTGTTTGACACTTGCTCCAGGAAAGGGTCATCGTCTATCCTGGCGCGGGGAGAAGTGGCTATAGCGCAGGTCTTTTATTGAGCAGCAGGATGCATGCATTGTGAGAGAACAGGTGCGAGCAGGAGGCATGCACCCTCAGGCAATGTCAGTCAAAGTTGGCTTTTGCAGATGGCATGCATAGTTCCATTGAGGGCACAGAGAGTGTGCTGAGGCTGGATCAGAGCATTGGAGCTCACCATCATGAATGTCAATGACGAGCCCAGAAATTGGATGTTCACAAAGGGAGCAATCACCAGCAGCAAACCGGCACCTGCAAGCAGTTGAATTTTCTTTTTACACATCCCACAGCACCACAGCTCCCAAGATCATTTGAGTGCAGATCTAGCATGCTTGGAATTGCAACCAATGTGTGGGATGCCTGTCAGAAACATGAGAGCGACAGCCCTACACATACCAAATAGGAGCATCCACAAGAAGTCTGCGCTGCGCCCTCGAAATGACTCCTCCTCCAGAGACTTGCTGTACTTTATGAGGAAGAACATGTGGAATACAAAGTCAAGACCTGCGCGAAAGCAGCACACACCCCTGTCAGATGGCACTTCATGGTCTTCAAGCAGAACTTGATGTGCAGTTGGCCAGCATCAATTAATTCCAGCTTACCTAGGCTGCCAAAAAATAGGAAGTTTGTCAGTAGTCGCCAGAGTTCCAATTTCTGGTAGATGAGCCTCGCGTTGAAATATATGTTGAAGGGGGTGATGATCTGCGTCAGGACAGAGCATGATCTATAGCCTCGATCGTGGCACCATCAGCTTTCTTTCTTTCATGATAACCAGCACCTCGCGTTCATTAATAAGGACAGAGATCAAGCGCACCTCGAGGGCACAAGCTGCTGTTACAAGGAAACATGACGTGACGTACAGTCTGGTGACAACAGGAAGCTGCGCAAACCAGTGAGTACTCAGTAACAATACTGCGCCTGAATATTTGAGTATCGTTGATGATGCCATCCTTGCTGACTGCTATCGGCCACCATCCAAAAATACCATCAGCCCAATCTGTGCTACCCAGGTGAAAATAACGCACCTGCTTGTACCAATCTTCCACTGCCTGCAGCAAACAATATTAATGACGTTCATCATTAGAATCAATACATTGAGCCTCACTGGATGTGACGTTTCACATCAAGTCTAAACAGTAGTGGTGTGGACAGAGAACATAGCGGAAATTTGCCGATGCACATCACATACAGGAATTAAACAGATATTCAAATAACATCATGACTTATCAACGTGTGCACGCACCATGTGCCTTCTAGAGCCAAAGGCTTTTGAACCGCCAGAATCGTCTGGGCTGTGTGCAATCTGGAAGCCGTACGTGCTTGCACGCAATCACAATTGTCTCCAGCAATTTACCAGACTGTAATCAACCGATGTACAGTACTTTACTCAATCCACAAATTGCTGAGCCCAGGCAAGGGCAGTTTCCAATGCAAGCTCTGGGATGTTAGTAATATTAGTAACTTTATCTGTAATCCCCCGAACGAGGTTGTAATGGAGGTCGAGCATGTCTCACGTTTATTGAGGCTCTTGCCTAAATCGCCGTTTCTCGTGCCACAGTAACATATGGACTTCATAATTGGCTTTGAATGTCCTCTGTGATTGAGAGAATCAAGCCGATTGGGGTCTTTTTCCTAGCTACCGTATGCGTTCCTCTTGCATATATTTGGCTGGATGGTATCATCAGCATCATGCAATGATTGGCTTTCCATAAATGGGCTGAACGAGCTTGGTCCGTGTGGCCGCGCAATATAGAACCAAAGAGCTTGACGGAGAAATGGCGGCCCAAACACGGGCCCGGGCAGAGAGATATCAACAGACCTAAGTGGCCATTAAATTATGTTCCCTAGTCTGGGCAAAACCGCCACAAATGCAGCAGCAACATGATAGTGTCACATTGCAGCAGCAACATGATAGTGTCACATGAGCAAGAAGACACCTGCAGTATCAATATTGCTCATTCTGGGGGTTTCCTCTGCAGGCTTGTTGAACTTGTACGTCAGCCCAGATTGTATGGTCAGCTGTTGTTTTTGTCAATCTATGTCTCCCGGTACCATACAGACTGTGAACAAGTGATGTTCAATGAGTAATTGACTATCCTTAGAAGCAACCATAAGCATTCTGCATGCGTTCCCCCTGGCTGCGGAGTGGGCTAGGTACTTACTCTCCCCGTGCCGCAATACAAAGGATTCCCATGGCGCCACTCACACGCTCATCACACGTCCATTGCCTCTAAGATGATCTTCAGTAACCCAAGGCATCATTCAGTTTCGTCCGGCCATCCCCTTTCTGCCCCTGAGGCGGCTGCCACTGCGGCGCTGTTGCACTTCCATTTTCCCCAACAGCAATATCTCCCACCGGATTGTCCTCTGCCAGGTCCTCCCCGTCCGAGGGGCGGCCCCCTCGCTGAAGCAGTGCCAGGCTGGCGAGCAGGCCAGTCTGCTGCGTTCCCTCCGCGGCACCCCCGGCCTGTTTCCTGGCAGCCGCGGCCGCTTGCGCGCGCAGTTCGTCCCGGCTAAGCAGCCCCTCAGGCCGCTTGCGCACCTGGCGCAACATCCACCCTCAGTTCTCTGGTGATACGGGATAGGAAACATCGTTTGGCTGTATTTGTGTTGCGTTTAATTCTCGTATTCAGTAGATCCCTGCTAGTCGCCGCTCAAACATTGGCTGGGTGAGCTCCCATTAGACAGAGGTATTTCAGACCAGCTCTTATTATGCCGCTTTTGTGGTAATTCTGGCACAAGGTCCAGCCACACTCAGACATTGAAATACAGCAGGTGCAAAGTGGGCCCATCCCCGAAACAATCAAAACATCCTGAAACTGACTTTGGCAAAGACATCTGCTGCACAGAAGGTCTATAGACGAGGCCACAGCCAGATAGGAGGCATAAATACCTGCAGCCCGAAGCTCCCGGCGCTCGCCGACTCGGCCGCAAGCCGGTGCAGCGTGCTCGCCTCTGCAGCCGGCTGCGCCGGCTCCGGCGCGGTTTCAGTCCCCCCGGCCGGACCCCCCACCGCCGCCACCGAAGTCGCTGGCAGTGGAGCCGGCGCGGGGGGACCGGTGTCGAGTTGGACTCTGCCCGGGGCCTGATCTGGCACGGAGGGGACCTGGGCCTGATCAGGCGCTGCTGCTGGCATGTCATCGCCTTCTTCGACCTCTGGGACGAAGGCACTCTCCTGCGCCTTGGCTGCCTGCAAGCGTTGGCACAGCCAGATTTCAGATTCCTGTCGGATGGAGGTCAATCTATTCATGCAAGCACTGGGAAGCCATTGCATTACGCTGAAGTTACCACTTCAGTGAAATATGCCAGCTATGATTCCTTGCCGGAATACTCAGAGACGCTGCTGCTGCTGCTTGCAAACGCAAAGGCCCGGGCAAATGCAAAACTAGCATTCTGAAGATCTAAACCCAACCCCGTATAGTCCATTTACTCAAAAACTGCTGCCATGCTAGAGTAGAGGAAGTATTCCTGAAGCAGAACTTGCAAAAAAAGCCAGCGCACCAGGCGTTCGCGGCTTTGTCTCTCCTCGGCCTCGCGTCGCTTCTTCTCCACCTCCATTGCCTTGATCCCCTTGGCCTTGGCGGCCTCGGCTGCGCGCGTTCCCTCCCTGTAGTACTCATCGGGATCCGCCAGTTTGAGCAGCCGCTCTGCGTCCGCCACCTGCTTGTCTATCTGCGCCACCTCCCTCCGCAGCGCCCCCACCTGCCAGCGCAGATTGTCATAAATCTCAGAGAACTTCATACAACACCTGTGACAGGAACCCTTTTGTCTATTGGCCAGGCATAGGACTCCAAAAGTGGGCAGCAGGACAATGATACCAGCCTCCAAGGGAAACGTGGCAGATTGGAAAATAGGTGGACCCATTGCTGGGTAGCAGCAGGATCAACAACAGCTTTGTTGGCAACTGCAGCAGATCTGGATCAAGACACGGGCGACCCCATTCCTGCCCTGCCAAGAGGAGCTGGTGCTTTACATGCTCAAAGCATGACCCTTGAGCCCAATAAAGACGGGGGCAGCACAGCAAGTAAGAGGGTGGGAGCAGTAGGGAGGGAACCCCACCTTGTCCTGCTCGATTTGGGTCTCAACATTGCTCATGAAAGCGTCGAGGGCGTCAACGCCGGCTTCTGCGCCATTTTCCTCGCCAGCTTCCGCACTGCCGGCAGCTGCCTCGCTGCTGACAGCTGCCGCTGAAGCTTCTCCCAGCCCCTCCCACGCCGGAGCCGCTGCAGCCTTCCCCTTCAGCTCCTTCGCAATTGCCTCCTCTAGCTTGCGCCTTTCTGCCAACAGCGCTTCCTGCATGCCAGCAAAAAGGGTGCGTCAGTTGTGAACTCTGCATGAGTCTGCGTCAGGCAAGTCAGGCCAAGTGCGGGAATCAGGCTGGCCTGGTCACCCACAGATAGTTGCGCCGTACAAGTGAGACCCTTGAAATACCTCCACACAGACTACTCAGCAGTCCTGACAGCTATACGGGTGCTTCTATGGCAGCTGTACGCATGTCTTCAACAACATGTCAACCCTTGAGAGGACAAGCGCCACCCAGAAAACAAAGTCCTTTGCCCGCGCTGTTCCAACACCAACCAACACGCAAGCAGCATCGTTTGAGAGCCATCGAGAATAGGTCAGCGATTGGCAGACGCCTCATTGATGGATTTTGGACTGCTCAATCAAGGTGCGCTGGGGAACTTGCAGATTCTCCCTCAAAACCAAAAATGAGGAACCAAAAATTTGTGGGGCAGGGCCCACCTTCTTGCCGTAGAGCGAGGCGGCGTCCTGCGCGGCTGGGCCGCCTTTGCCGCGCTTCTGGCGTCGGCCGCCCTCGGTGCGGTCGTAGAACTCGTCCTCGCTGCTGCTTGCCAATAGCGCCTCCTCGTCCTCTGGATCCCTCTTCTTCCTGCAAGCCCCGTCACGGCTGCGTCACCTCCCTGCAGACCCTTGCAGACTTTGCAGACCATGTCCAGAGCGCACCAAAGCCTTGTGCACGGTGATGCAAAGGAGCCTGGACAAGCACTTGCCGCATTCTTGCTCGACTAGGAGCATCAGTGTTTCGGATGCTCAAACAGAAAGGATAAGGACATTGCGCTCTGAATCGCTTGAATAGCAAAGCTGCTCTCTTTCCTCTTGCATGCTTCTTTTCTGAGAGGACCGAGCATGACATTCACCTTGACATCGACCTTTAAAGCTCATTCAACCTGCCTGTCATGTCAACACACAAGAACACCGCACAATCTTCGACGGATTGTTGTCACTTCCCATGCAGCAAGGCATTGCCTGATCCATGACGACCTGGGTATATGTATTGCGGCTTCATAATCTTCTGACCCTTGAGGCCCTGCCAGCAGGAAATGAGGGCGAGACATGTGGGCAACCCACCTCTTCTTTTTCTTCTGGGGTTCCTCTCCGGCGGCTCTCTGCCGGGCGCCGCGCATGGAGTCGGCGATGGACTCGTTGAGGGTGTCTTCAAGTTCCTCCAGTTCTTCGGTCGTGCGGTCGATGTCCTGCTCGTTTCGCACCAGCACGGCTGCCTGCCCCGCTGTCAGCTCTTCCATAGCTGTCTGCTTTGCCTGCATCGAAGCATTAACGTCGTCAAACTGCTATTTAAGACACTCTTGACTTAGTTTGCAGTCCCCTGTTGCTACTGATCACCACTCTTGAGCGAGCAGCAGGCAGATCTCTTGATGCCTGCTGTTCGGCACAGAGCTAGTGCATGCCTCTTCTGAAAAGGTATCTCTTTCTGAAATGGCAAGCTCTGCCAGATTTTCGCTGTTGATCTCCTACCGCAAAAGTCCTTCATGTGCCAATACCATCATGCAGGAACCTTCTAATCAGGCTTAACCTGCGTCTGTCTGTGCTTCTGTAGAGGGAAGCACCGACATGCTCTGGACCCATATAATTTTCTTTGCAGGAGCCAAAGCAACACACAACAAATCGCGAACAAATCAAGCACCCAGATGGTACGCAAACATGTCCCGCCTCTCACTGCTCACGTGTCTGTAGTGCCCCTTTGCCGGGCCAGGCCTGCCCTTTACACATACCTGCTATGCATGCTGTGAAAGGGTGCCCCATCTAGAGGTCATCTGGTTATTGATGGCCACAGCAATATACACAACACTGCATGAGGGTGCGCCGCACCCGGATCTTGTCGAGCTCGCGTTGGAGGTTGGTGCTGCGCGCCTCGCGCTTGCGGATCTTGTCCGCCAGCTTCTGCTGCTTGTCTGTCAGGCTGTGGCTCTGCACGTACGCGCGCCAGTCGACGGCATTGCCTCCGCCCACACCTGCACAGAATGCATTTCTCAGTCATCTTTCTGCAACAGGCATTTAGTCTGCTGCTTGTCTTCCGACAGATTGCTAATGCAGCCAGGAATGTCCATAAAAGCCTTGATTGTGTGTCAGGCACCTTTATATATCACAGGACACTGGGTTCCGTGGGTGCAGCGTGCTGCAACTCAAGCATCAGACCCACGCACTGCATGCAATGTTCTGCCAAAAGGAAAGGAGATGCACTGTTCTGTCATATGCTTTCTCAAAGGGCTCACCATTCTCATCTTCATCGTCCACTGCGTCCTCGCCAAAGCCCCAGGAGACACCGCCCGACCTCGCAGCGTCCATCTGCGCCTTTGCAACTTGCTGCTCCCGGATCTTCCTCGCTTCCTTTGCCTGCGGCAATTCCCCCAGCAGCCACTCAGAAAAGGCACATGCATTAAGGGATTGTAATCATAACCCGTAAATATCCCATGCAACAGCGGCATCCTGGTGCAACCGGAGACCAGCACCGCAGGGCAGCAAGTTAGCATGGCGTGCACTGTATGCATGTGCTGGTGTCAGCTCAATACAGCAATATACAGCAATATACAGCATATGGTGCTGTCCTCACGAGCACAGGCACTGCCTCGATACAATCAATTGCCGCCAGCTTAGTGGGCCAGCATATGTGTGTATTGTACAGCGCCTGCATACCGATCAACTGAAGCGACAGCATTCAGTTGCACCACGGTGCGGCCCTCAAAAGGCTGTTGCTGCTGGTCAGGGCACTGTGGACTAGGAACGTACAAGATTGAGCTGAAGCCGCAGCAACAGCATGTCACCCATGACTGGCTGCTCTCACTGCATCATCAAAACATCCCTTGCAAGCCGCCAATGAGGTGCATGCAAAGAGTCGAGTTGAACACCTCGAGCAGGGCGGCGGTTCTGCGCTGGTCCCTGGTAAGGCCCTCCTCCGGGCGCAGCTCTTCCGGGCCGCCCAGGATGTACATGCGCGTGCTGCGGCCGAATTTGAACATGTCCCCCACCCTGCGCAAGACCAGTGAACCCTTTGAGCTTCCGTATGGACCCTTGTCGTCCCATTGTGTGATCACCCAAGGAACTCACAAGAACTTTTTGTAGCCATGCCACTTGTCCCGGTGCTCGGAAACATCAGGGACTTTGCACGTGCTTGTGCTGCTTGCCTCTTGACAACAAAGCAAGCTCCTCTCCGCATTTTTATACAAAGAGAGTCCTCATGCACAATCAGCCGCCCACGCATTGATCACAAGAGCTGCATGCAAGCACAGCAAACACACAATCCCAGGAAAGTACTGCTGCAGCAATGATTTGAAAAAATCCATGCAAAGCTACTCACCGCAGCGCCATGTGGGCCTTGGGCTTGAGCTGCTTCTTGTTCACAAAGGTGCCGTGCGCGCTGCCGGCATCATAGAGGAATGCGCGGCCGTCGGAGCTCCGGTACTGAAGCACGGCGTGCAGGCGCGAGGCTGAAGGGTGCTCCAGCAAAAAATCGCAGCCGGGGGACCGGCCAAAGGTGAAGAATGCCTTGTCGGCGACGGCGCGCGTCTCGATGATCTGGCCGGCCTTCATTACCTCCAGCGAGTAGTCCAGCCTGGCGCACACACCAGCACACATGTCAGTGCTGATGTCATCAACATAGAGTGTGTATGACAACATGCTTGAGCAGGTTGCAGGCGAGGAGAAGACACCACTTGTCCGTTCCGCTATATGTTAGTATGGTTGAGATGTGCAGACAATCTGTGAATCTCAGAGTTTCCACCCTGACATCCATGAGGGTACACCGCATCCCAAAGACAATACTTGCGCTCATTTGAGCTGCAGGCTAGTGGCTGCAGTGCAGCAGTGCATTGTAATAAATCTTGTCAAGTCAATTCATGACATGGTGTCTGAGCAAAACTGCGCACCCTTGCGGCACGCCGGACCACTGCGGTGGCTCGTAGGTGGGGGCCTCGCGCGGGGGGCCTGCCTCGGAGCCACCGGCGTCCCCTCCTGAGGTCCCCCCTGCCGCCTGATCAGGCGCTGTTTCCTGCGCCTCCCTGGCTGCCCGCTCGCTGTCCCTCGTCGCTGTGTAAACCTGCGCCATGCCACCATTTGGGATGAAGCTGCCACCTTGGCACTCATGCATTCCCTAAAAGCTTGCACCAAAGGAAATATTGCGGCGAGCACTGAGTTGATGAACTCACAGCACTGGCGAGCTTTTGCATTATTGGCACAGCGCTGAGCGGATGATGATCAATTGTGGCAGTGTGGCATGTGTCTTGCAGAATAACACACTCGCTCTTCGGCGCTCCCAGGCAGTATGTGGCATCATGCATGATCATGAACACAATTCATGAGGAGGTTACATCGACAATTGCATTGACGTGATATTGTGTATCGCACCGCAGAGGCTGCTTCTGCAATTGCCTTCTCCCTCTGGCCCGGGGTCACACTTGCTGCAGCATTGCGGGCAGCCGTCAGTGCTGCCATTCGCGCCCTCTCCTCTGCAGACAAGCACAATCATATCAGCATGCAGAAGTCTCACGTTTCACTGTTCTTTAGATATCAACTCTGATGCAGGCAGTCTGGTCAGGGCTTTGTCTACACTGGGACTCTGCCGAAAAGAAAGAGCCACGGTCCAGCGCACCCTCAGAGCTCCTTGGCTTGATGGCCGGGCGGTCGTCAGTAACCTGCCCATTAGAGGGCTCCACTGCGCTGCCATGTGCTGCTCCTCTGCTCTGGAATTTGGGAGGAGGGGCCCTGAAGGGCTGGCCATTGGACTTCAAGGTGCCTTGCTTCCCAGAAGAGGAGGCTGAGGGCGCCTCTGGCATTCGGAACCCGCCATTATTCTCGCTGCTCGCCTTTGCAGCATCGAAGCGCGGTGGAGGGGGTGGCATTGGTTCCCTTGGTGGTGGAGCCATTGGTTTTCTGGGCTCCACCGTGCCATCGGCGCTAGATACCATCGGTATATCTGCTTGCTGTATTTCTGTGGGGTCATCTGTATTGCTGGATTCACTCTTTTCCATGCTGCCTTTCTACAATCTTGAGAAGGTGCACCGATGTGTCGTGTTCCAGATCTTAACGGCACTTGTCGCTCTCGCAACTTACCAAGATCCGTATATCTCAATTGAGCAAAACATATGCCGGAATCCTGCAAGTGGGTGACTGTGCGTCGCATGCTTCAGTCTTACCAACAGTTTCTTAGACTGTGTAGGGTTGAGAGGGTTCACCCCCCAATAGGCGGGCAGTGCGGGCTCTTCCTTACCAAAACAATTCACAAGCCCTCCCAAATGTGCCCTTTTATGCAGAAAAAATGGTGAGAAATGTGTATCTCACCTGCAGGAGTCCGCCAGTGAGAGACAGTTAAGGAAAAATACAGATGCGATCTTGGGTTGTCTTCTTCTCTGGAAACTAAGACATACGATCGGTTGTCTTATTGACGATGAGAACTCCTGATACTGCATTTCGTAGAAGGGGCCAATCAGTAAGCACACACATGCAGAACCAAACATGGAACGTGAAAGTTTCGACCAGTCTTCAAACGCGTCTTCTGCTTGTTCGGGACCCCAGTACCTCCATCGAATCTCTGCAAGGTACTTCTATTACTTGACACTAATTGTACATCGTTGGATAACGATAGTACACGCCCAATGTACGAGCTCCTGGACATCAGCAAGGAGGAGCCAGGCGTCTTGCAGTGTGTTCACGCGAAATATGTCAGAACACGGAGAAATCAGTGTTCCTAAGATATACATTTAGCTATTAATCTCCCTTTATGCGCAGACGCCGTGGAGCAAGATCACCTAGCAGTCTACCCAGATGAAGGCCCTGTCAATTGCCGCACTGTGTGTATGGTGGACTACGATGCAGCTGGAGGCGAGCGTTACTACGCCATTAATGCCAAGTACCTGCTGCGAGGTGGCTCCCTCCCCTCACTGTTGCAAAAAATGGCACAAGAGCGACCTGTGTGAGTACTCCTTGCAGGCCTGTCAACATAGCTCCAATTCTGTGTTGGTCTGTGTCATAGATGTAAAGATCTGAATGTCACTAGATATCTAAGAAGTTCTGTGCATGTCGCGCAGACGCTCTGAAGCAGGATGGGGCAGAGGTCTTCGCTCACCTAGTCTTACACCAGGTGAGCACTGACAACACCTGCATGCACAGTGTTTTTTTATCACCTTCTTGGCATCAGGGCAGACATGCAGACTTGCCTGTCGAACAAGCATCGGGTGGTGCTCCCGTGCCAAAGTATTCCAATGGATCCTAAGGTGCGAGCATGACCCGCTTAACATCAAGCACCTGGCAGGAAGGCAGGATGCAACAACAGGCCTGGCTCGGTACCAAAGGATCTTAGTGTCTTAAGTCAAGCGTGAAAGGTGAGCGCTGTTGAATGCTTGCAGAAGAAGAGGAAGCGTTCCACCGGCAGCCAGCCGACGCCAGAGCCGCTACCGGACGGCCCCGGCCACAAGAGACCGCGCGCAGCGGCGGCCGACAGCAGCCCATCGGCGTTGCCGGCGACGCTTGAGACAGAGGTCGCCTCGAGGCTTGGCGTCCTCACAGAGGGCCGGGAGGGGGTTGGCGGAAGTGTCATGACCGGCGCAACGGCCCTGAAGAAGCAGAAGAAGATAAAGGCCCGGAAGCGCGCGGCGCTGGCCGTTCGGCAGGCCGCAGAGGAGTGCGTTGCGGAGCCGGACAACCAGGCAGCCGCCTCTCACGGCGCGCAGCCTGCAGAGCAGCCGCGCTCGCAGAAAAAGGCTGCCAGGGGCCGCAGTGCGGACAGCAATAGGAGAGAGCAGAAGAAGGGGAAGGGCCGTGTAGAGGTGAAGAAGGCTGATGTGGCGGCATCCGGCAAGCGGAAGGGGCGCCGCTCGCAGGCGGAGGGCGTGGCGGCTGCCGGGCAGCTCCCGCAGGCTGCGGAGGAAGCTGCCGCCGCAGCTTTGACGGCACTGGCGGATGGGGCCGCGCAAGCAGGCGCCGCTGGAGCATCCGAGCCAGAGCAGGTGCTGAGCGCCGGGCAGAGCATGAAATGGCGCAGGAGGGAAAGGAAACATGGCAGCGGCGACGACGCGGCTCAGGAGCACCCCGCCGACGACACGCCAGGTAGTGCGGCCGCGGGAGCAGACGACGGCCTGCCTGCACCCAGTCACGCGCCAGCAATGAATGGCACAGAACCAGCAGGCGGTGCGGAAACGGACTCGCGCAGAAAGCGCCAGAAGCATGGTGGCAGCAGCGAGCCGGCAGAGGCGCATGCGAAGACGGCCCACGGAGTGGAAGCAATGCAGGAAGTGAGCGAGAAACCCGATACAAATGGGGCAGCTGCGGATGATGGGGTGGTTGGTGCTGCACGACTGGCGAGTCCTGCCGGAGAGGAGAGCAGCGACGAGGACTCGATTGCAAAGGCGCTATCTGCTGTAAAGAAGTTTGGGGCAGAGAGCACCTCCGAAGACGAGGGAGACAGCCCCACAGCTGCAGCAGAAAAGGCGCCTGCAGCGCCCGATGTGGCGCGCAAAGCGCCCACACACGAGCCATCATCTTCCTCAGAGGCATCTTCATCAGAGTCTGAGTCCGACTCGGAGGACGAAGCAGAGTCCAATGGCGGCATTGGGAGCCAGCTGCAGCTGGCGCAGCAGCCGCCGTCCAGCAATTCTGCCGACGCCGCAGCAGAGGGGGAGACAGCTGCAACGGTCGCAGAACAGCCGCACAGCAGCGGCAAAGAGTCGTCCGAGGAGGGCAGCTCGTCAGAGGAGGAGTCGTCCGACAATGAGGGTGCTGCGCAGCCAACTGAAGGAGGCATCGCCCCGGGCCTGGTCGCGTATGGGCAGGCAGCTGCAGGCGCAAACGGGCCGGCTGAATCGGAGGGACCCGAGAAGGAAGCTGGCGGGAAGGGGCAGGAAGCTGGAGGGAAATCGAGCGAAGAGAGCAGCAGCGAGGAGGAGTCGGAGGGAGAGTCGGGGGAGGAAAGCGAAGAGGACGAGGGAGATGATGAGATGGAGAGTAATGACGCCTCACCAGAGACTGCCGGAGTCAAGGGGAGCGCTACCATGTTAGTTCCCTCAGCTCACAGGCCTCCACCTTTTGTCATTCAATTGCAAATTGATTCCTTTAGATCTCGTTCAAGTGGAATAGAAAGGAAAACGTCTGAGCGGTTGACAATGCAAAGGCTTGGGCCAGCCCATGTAGGTGTACTGAAATGACCTTGCAGCGCTGCAGATGTCTCCATTGCGTTTGACCTGCCATCGAACTTGGCATGAGTCACTGCAGTCTGGGACCATGTGAAGCGGCCTGCTTCTCAATTATCGGCAGCAGAAGTTTAGCCCACAACTCCAGCCGGCATTGTGCTGCAGAAGTGAAAATTATTGGGGCATGTGTGCAGGGCCGATGGCGAGAGCGAGTTTGACCGGCTGAAGAACGAAGCCACGCAGAAGGTGCTTGACACCCTTGCAGACATGCCAGATGCCATCTCCATGCTTTTGGCTGCCAAGTCAGCCAGGGTGAGCCATCTTCAATTTCCTGCTGTGCCCATGCAAGGGTCTAAAAGGGGTTTGTCACGCGCTCTGCCTGAGACATGCCTTTCTGCTGCACCTTGTGCCTTGAGCAGCCGGGGCGTTCATGTGATTGATCAGCAGAATTTCCTAGCCAGCGGCGACTCGCATGCTCAAGGATGGACTGCTGAATGGCAGCCATCCAAGCTCAAAGCCATGGGATCAATCATTCCATCATGTTGGATGACCCTGTGGAGCTACAGAGCTGGCCTGAATACTTCCCATGCACCAGGATCACAGACAATGTTGAAAAGAACATTGTGCTGAGCATTTGCGGTGCACTGCAGAAGAAGGCGCGGGAGAGCAAAGGCGGGAACGAGGCCGGCACGCAGGAGGCGCCGACAACGCCGGTGCCATCAGACGCTCGGCTAGCGTCCATGGCCGAGGCGCTGCAGCGCCAGAAGGATTCACAGCAGCAGGCTGACAAGGTGCTTACCCTGATTTACCATGTTTCCCTCTGGTCCGGGCCTTACATGTCTGTTTGCTGGCTAAGCAAACCACGAGAGAAGGAAAAATAACCTGTACTGGAAGAACATGAAAATTAGGGGGGAGTGAGCCTTGGATTGGTCGCTCACAGCCCATTGGAGACAGGATGCAGGCCCTGCGGCAATTTGCAGCTTGCCTTTTCAGAGGAAGTGGGAGCAAGCAAGCACAATCAGTGGAAAAATGCGCTGGGAGCTGCATTATAAAAGTTGCACATCTGCGCAGGCGGGCGCTAGTTCTGCCTCCGGCCCGAAGGGGCATCCAGAGCTTCTGCCGCTGGCCGAGTACAAGACAGAGTCTGATCTTCGCAAGGCACTTCGAGCAGCGCTCATCCCCATGGTGAACTCGCAGCAGGGCACCAGCCACAAGTCTGCCACGCAGGTCCTGTTTCCACAGCAGTTGCCTAGATTCCCTTGGTTTTCTCTAGTGGCAATTTGCAAGGAAAGGTCTCCTCATGTCTCACATTTCCAATCTGCATGTGAAAGTGTGCCCTATACTGTGGAGGTATGCTGTAGAACGCCTTGAGTAATTTTCTGCTGGCTCAATTCCTGAGATTACAAAGCCTCATTGATCCTTCTGTATCTGCTTGGAACCAGTGTCCTTTCCTGTGGTAGTAGCCACATCTGGATTTGGGGTGAGTGCAACCTTGGGCTTTCGGACACTTGGATGTTGAATTGACGAAGTTCTTCAGGAGTGTTTCAGCGGTGGCTTTTGTGGGGTGTGTGGTGAACTGGGGCATCGAGACGCAGCTTAAAGAGTATCAGTGATGCTCACTGCCTGTCTTTGGTGGCTGCAGGTGCTGGCGCAGGGCACACAGCCAACCTGGTGGCCGCTGGACAAGTGGGGCAAGAAAATTCTGGACCGCAGATGGAAGGCCTTGGAGGCTGTGTACCACGCGTTGCAGGAGCAGAGGCGGCTGCTCGCTGGCACCAGCACAGCCTGAACCTCAAAGGTGGAATGGCAAAGGGTGACTCTAGTGATTGTCATGGGCACGCCGTTTGAGGCTGTGTGAGTCTCCCTGAAGAGAAGCTGTGACCCGCTGATTTGTCAGGTTCATGCCATAGGAATGCATGCTCTATGAGTGGCGAGATGTGTCTGGGCGTCTATTAGCTTCCTCACTTGCAATTGCTCAGTTTGTACATCTGGGAGCCTCAAAGGTGAACATGTGAGGATCATGTTGGAGACACGGCAGTCAGTGAAATCAAGTGTCTTCCACTGCCTACGCTTCTGAGCTGCCATCTTGTCCCAAGTGCAGTCAATAAAATCATGTGTCTTCCACTGCCTACGCTTCTGAGCTGCCATCTTGTCCCAAATGAAGTTGCTGCTGGCAGTCTGCTAGGTCCGATCATCCTCCAGTCGTTTTGATTGCGTACATCGAAATGTGCGACTGCCAACAGCGGATCATGAGGAAGAAACTTGAAGGCTTGTATCTCGACCATCAGTGATGCTCCCATCCATCGCACAGTTTGTGTTGACTGGCAAATGAGATCGATCACAGCGGCCGTGTAATCATTGCCATTATTTCTCACGTCACATTTATGGCATTCAGCACTGTAATGCCGGCAGCTACCAACATTGAATGTCGTTCGGGTGATCAACCAGAAGTTGATGCTGCACAATGACGGTACTGATCCACCACAGGAATGTACACATCTCTCTCACCGATATTCAGATGATCAGAGCAGCGAATTAAGCACGATCGGCCGTTGAAAAAACGGCATTCCATAGGATATCTGAGGAGCTTCTTGGGGCGCGGCAGCTGCAGTTGGCTCAGATCTGGGCAGGCCACAACCATAGCTTCATGCTCTGAGCTGAAGCCGGAAGCTGGGCGGCTTTCATGCCGTCCTTCGCAAAGCATGCAGTGTGGCCTGGTCATTCACCTGTGATGTCAAAGGAAACGTAGCAAGGATCGGGAAGGCGAGCATCTGGGGCGCACACGGCTGCTTGGCCTGTGGTCTTGCTTCAGGGCAGGATTAAGTCTGGACTTTTGTAGCCTGTGGATGGCTTCCGTGCAGACATGGATCCTCAGCAAATCTAAAAACAGACGCGGAGGTCATTCAAAAAGGAACAGCGGCAGACAGATCGCGCTCGACGGCTCTCGCACCCGCTTCTCGAAAGAGGTGCAGGGGAAGTTGCGCAACACCATGCGAAAACCCAAGAATGGCAGCGCGGAAGGCAAGGATCGATTGAGGGCACTGGCAGCGGCTGCAGCAAGAGCGGCGGGTGCCAATTTGACCACTTACTTTGCGGACGACGATCAGCGGCCAGTCAATCCAGATGGTGGGTGCTCTGTGCGCCACATTGACTACGTTGGCTGGAATGCACGGACGTAACATGTGATTGCTTGCAATATATCACCACATACTGATATAAACATGGCATTCCTTACGGCGTGACTGGAAATAGATGGAAACGGTATGAAGGAGGTGAAGCAACCGGAATCCGCTCCCAGCGTGGATTTGAGTTATGCAGTCAGGGCTCTTCCGTGTCAAATGCACGGCCGCCTTTGCGGTTGCATGAGAACGAAAGGCCTAATTGTGTGGTGTCACACCAGACCTGTGTGGCCAGTCAGAGGATGAGGAAGTAAGAAACTTTGTTGGGAAGGAGGCTATATTGGTAGCTTCCTCATGGAGTGAACTTGGGCAGGGCTGCCCCCAGCCGCTTCGTTCAGTGGTACAGATGATATGGAAGGAAGCAATTTCTTATTTGAGGATGTTCAGTGCGGCTCCAGCCTTCCATTCTCCCTTAAAAAGCACTTTCAGGGAACAACCTTGTTCCGATCTTTGGTGGAAGCCTTGGAGCGCCACATGCTGCGTTGATTCAGCTCATCTATGGCTTCAGAAAAAAAAATTCACTGGTATATCCAGGGCCTCTCACTCTGTGGCAGACATTCCAGTGATGGCGCCTTCTGCCCCCAAGTAGCATGGGCGCCCAACTCTGCATTTATCCAGGGTTAATGGGTAGATGTGTTTACGAAAGGCAGCAGCTATTGGCACATCCGTGCCAATACAAGCCGCTGTTGGTTCTCAGTGCCTCACAGCAACTGCACACGCCGACAAAAAGGCCCACTGGCTGAAATTTGCTCTGCTTGTGCAGGACCGGCAGCCACGACGCCCCCAATCAAGTTGGTGTCAGCTACCGTGGGCATGTCTGGGACGGGGTCACCTGCAGCACAATTCACAGCAGGGAGCAGTGCTTCAGCGTTTGCGCCGGCCTCTGCTAGCCTGGATGCTGCAGCGCTGGGAGGGGGTTCACCAGCGGGACCGCTCAGATTTGGCCAACCAGAGGGGGTGTGTAAACCTGCTCAGCAATGCCCTGTTTGGATTCACAGCGAAATTAATGCCCACACCGCGTTGACCAGACGCAGAAGTCCTTGTGCGTACCATTCAATCACAGATTTCCTGGGAGGAGAGTGTGCATGTGCAAAGAGCACTCAGACGCACGATCTGTCTCCATGGAGGATTCTGGATTCTCTTTTGGTTTGATACAGTGGTGGTCAGCTAGGTCAGCACCTCTGGAACGTGGGAACCAGATGCTCCTGAGAATTGACATGACAGGAGAGGCAGGGTTGCAAGGATGAGCCTGGCTCAACCCAAGGGGCTACTGCTTTAGCGGAATGGGTGTACTGTTTCAATGCATTGCATTTCAATCTTTCTCTCACCACCTGGGGGCCTTTTCCTCCTTTCTGGAGGGTGTGTGTCACGAATACCTGAGCGTTGGTTGTATCCGGCAGGCGGAGCTGCAGGCGAAGCACGCCGCGCGCGCCGCGCGGCTGGTGACGTCGGGCGACGGTTTTTTGACGCACATGGAGACCAGCCGCAGCACCTCGGGGGAGCTACCCCCCCAGCTGGGTCCCCCCGCGCCCCCTGGCCAGCCAAATCTGGAGTTCCTCCCTGTGCTGCCGCCCATGCATGTGCACTCCCACCCCGTCACGACCGGCCAGGGACCCCCGGTGAGAGCTGCACACGTGCGGGCATTGCCTTCCAGTATTTCTTGGTCCTTTGAAAATCTGCCGTTTGATGAAAATCTTGGATGTGCACCCTGAGTCTGTATGCAGCTTGATGGACCCACTGGATAGAGTTTTAAGGCAAAAAGACTGCTATGTAGAGCATATTGTGTCTGGTGTGCTGCACGACAAGACTTGGTGACCTCACATCTCAAGACAATTGAAGAAATGGCAATGGCCGTTGTGAAACCAGCTGAATAGCCATCACAGTCACGAACACATGATCAATAATGCGCCATCACTTGCAAGGCCGCCGGGACATGGTATGATTGTGGCGTGTGCCGGGTGTAACAGCAGGCTCCAGCGCCCGCGGCGTACGTGCGGCCAAACAGGGATTCGGCGCAGGCAGTAGTGCCCAAGATTGTGCTATCGCGCGCATCAAGCGCGGGCGCAGCTGCCGGGCAGCTGCCGGAGCTGGACCGCGCCCGGTCGGGCAGCGGCGGGCTGCCCGGCTCCATCGGCGTCCCGCCCCTCCACCCGCAGCAGCGCAACTGCCCTATCCCGCAGGTGCTGTCCTGCATAAACCCTCAACTCACACCCTTTGGGCTTTAAACATGATCTTCGGACTGACCAGCATTCAATCGGGCCCTTGTCATCTTTCCACTCCTCTAGAGAAACGTAGGCTCTGGAATTTGTGGGGGGATCTGAGTGATGAGGAGTGCACTGCACCGGCCATTCCATCAGGAAGGTTGGTCGGATTTGAGGGTATGCTAATCTCTGTGCCGTGGTTGGCGACAGGTCACGATCAGCCTCAAGCGCGACCTGAGCCCGGCAGCCGCACCTGGCGACGAGGAGGCCTGGGCCCTAGGTGACGGGGCGTCCATGGCCGGCAGCCGCGGCCGCGGCACCGGCCTGCCTCCTATCGGCGCCAAGGTGACCGCCCCAATATAACAAGTTCTCGTGCGGTCACGTATGATAGGACTCCCTCCTCACGCAAGCCAACCTTTTTACTTTGAAATTTTGTCATAAGACAGCTCTGATAGCGCACCATATTGTGATTATGTAGCTTGCATACCATGAGATACCATGGCCCCGGCTGGCGGGGGGCGGTACAAATACTGAGCACCATGCCCACCGTTGATTGGGTCTTGCTTGGATCTGGCGAGTCCAACAAGGGTAGGATTGTGGCAGCCTTTGACTGCAGCTTGTCTGCAGGACGCAACTTGCCTCTTGGCAGAAAAGCGTTGAATAATAATAATAATAATAATAATAATAATAATAATAATAATAATAATAATAATAATAATAATAATAATAATAATAATAATATCATGAGAGCACATCATCAATGATTTGGGTAAGTACGTTGCAGCTGGACTGCTCCAGACTTCTTCGTGACCAGTGGCTTTCTGCGTGTCAGGTGACGGGTCGCCGCGGCAAGAGGGGCGGAGGACCTTCACCAGACCGGGGGTCACCGCACCAGCGGTGGTCAGCGCTTTCGCGAGCCGCCAGCGACGGTAGCTTCCCCGCAGCTACCGGCCAGCCGCAATTTCCACCGCAGCCGCCGCATTTGCCAACCGTCGCCATCGGGGAGCAGGCCCCGTCTGCAATGCCGAAGATCCCCCTGGAGCAGAACAACGCGGTGCAGCAGCCACAGCCGCAGGATGAGGTAATTGATATCCCTGGACCGTGCACTCAAGCTGTGCCCTGCGTCACGTAGCAAGCCATTTATTAGGGTGCGGAAGCAGGCCTGATATAGCTCTGGAAAGACAGACATTTTCTAAAAACTTGTGAGCACAGGACCTAAAAGCGGAGGGCCGGGAGTCATGTAGTGTTTGACACAGATGGGGTTTGTCACATACTTTGGGGTGAATAATTATGGCATTTTCTGTACCAGGTGATGCTGGAGAGCGAGGCGGCCGGGGGCGATGTGCCGATGGAGCAGGGAACCAGCGGGCAGGAGGATGGCCCTGTCGGGCAGCCCGCAGTGGTCAGCATCGCTGAGAGCGGCCGCGCGCCGAGCTTCAGCCCTTTCTCGGTTGCGCCGCCGGTGGGCGAATCCAGCAGTGACAGCAGTGACACTGAGAGCGATCAGAGCCGAGACAAGCAGGTGCGCATGCCACCCTTCATTTTCTGCATTTTTCATACTACTGCACTTTCCCCTTCAGGCCTGATTGCAACTTGAATCAGCCCTGCTAAGTGGTTGGAATAGTAGTAGTTGGAAGTAAGTTGGAATATTCACCTTCCTCGGGAGGCTGGATGCAAGTGGCTGCACTGTCTGCAGACCAATATATGGGAAACTAGCTACACTGCTTTAGGTCTGTTGCAGCGGCTTCCTGAAGTATAGGATGTGATAGGGACTGCTGTTATCCACATAAACTGTGCGATGGTCTGAGGTCTATGTGTTTGGAAACAGGCAAGGGAGGGGGAGACGCAGGGAGACAAGCGTCCCGGCAGCCCGGGTGCCGACGCGGGTGAGGGGCGGGCGGTGAAGAAGATGCGCGGGCAGGACGGACTGCCCAGAGCTGCGCGGGCGGCCTCTCTGGGCACGGTGATCGCCGCGGTGGAGGAACGCGCGACCAGACAGGGCAGCGGCGCGATGGACGCGGCCATCGGCAGCGCGCCAACCACCGTCGAGGACTGCCTGCAGAGCAGCAGCTTTGGCAACGTGCGCAAGGTGCGTGTCAGACTATGCACCTTCTGGAGAGAAACCTTCTTATTAGTTCATGTGCACTGCTGGAAGCTTCAGGAGTATTTGCATGCTCTTGCTGGTTTCCCGGCAACTGGACTTGTATCAGCCCTCACACCTGTGTCAAGAAGACCATTTTAAGAAATTGGTGCCTAATTCGGGCTGTGTGTTGTCTCTCTGATGTCTTGGTGCCTGGACTTAGATTGAGGTGGAGTACCTCCAAGTTCTGGGATCAAGGATGTGGAGACATGTCAGCCTCCTCAATCAATGTCCAGGTCTCAAGTGTCTTAAAGCTGCAGGAGGCAGAGACTTCCATGGTATATCAGGGTGATGTGCAAGGCATGGCTGATGTCATGTCTGTGTGGCTGCAGTCCAAGAGGTCGGCCAAGCCGCCGAGGGAGGAGGGCGCCCCCCTGAGAGTGTGGGGGTCCGTTGGTGGGCCCCTCGCTCCCAGCAGCGCTGAGGGGCAGGAGGCCATGGCTGGCATTGGATCCCTGTCGCTAGAGGTGAGCCTGTAAGCTGGTTTTGCTCGTGACACAGATTTTCAGACTCACTCTTTATCATGGTCCTGTTCAGATGTTCTGCTTCCCAGATTCAGCAATTGTGTCCCATGCGATCTTCCTAATATCTGTTGTCTCTCTCAAGGACAAAATAAAGCTATGCCTGAGAGCTAGGCAAGGGGCAATACTGCAAGAGCCTGTGCTAATTTAATGACTCACAGGGAGCCAAAATGCAGGAACAGAACAGCCGCCGCGTCCGCGCGGCGCTTCCGCCGGTGTCGGCTGCGGCTGCGGCGCCTGCTGCGGGTCGCTCTGGGCTTGCGCTCAGCAGCTCGGAGTCTGCCGCTGCTATTTCCCTGCTGGCGCTCGCGCCGCAGACCCCTCCCAGTGTGTCATCTCCCTCCGCGGCCCCCGTACACCATGACAGTGGGGAGCTGGAGGAAGCTGCCGGAGCCGCCGCGGCAGCGGCCGGCGCGCCGGATCCAGCTGCCATCGCCGCACCTGCCGAGCAGCGTGCGCCCATGCAGATCAGCGGTGCGCATGCCATGTTTGCTTGTGGAGTGGTACGCAGAGAAGCAGCCATGTGAGGAGCATCTCTATCAGCTTCTCATCTGACACCCACTCTGCAGACAATGGGATTGAATGAGGAGCTGTTTGAGGAGCGTCTCACATGGCAGTTCCTACACGTGATCGAATTATCCATAGTCGTGGCTGGCATCTTCTTGCGATGCTAGTCTCTTGTGTGATTAGTGCTGCCACATCTTGCGCTAAGGCGGATCTGATTAGCAATGTTGTGACAATATGTACATGGTGCCCTATCCAGGCAACGTGGCGGCTGCGGAGGGAACATCGCAGCGTGCTGGCAAGGAGACCAATGGCGGCGCGGACCACGCGCAGACGTGGGCAGGCGGCTCGGGGGGTTCCCTCCCGGGGGGCTCGGCCGGCGGCAATGGCGCGGCCGGAGGCAGCGCCAACGGCATCGACCGGGCGGGCAGCGCCGGGCTGCCCATTACGCCGCTGCGGCTAGACTCTGGGCTGCAGGTGGGTGCACCCTTCCCCCTTAGGGCGGGCACTTTTTCCAAGAAATCTTGGAATCAGCACAGGGATAGAAAGTAGAAAGACAACAACGGTGGTAGGAGTCTGCGCTGTAGGTGGGTGCAGCTGCCCGGCATCAGAACAGGCCCTGCAGTGGCAATACAATCGATGCATTGTACTGTGAAAGTTATTGTCATTAGTGTTACACGCTCTTCCTGCCACTTCCTGCCAACAGGCAAGGGACGTCCTGCAGACAGCTGTGAATCTGCGAAAATTTGATAAACTTCTACAATGAGGCTGCGGGAAGGCTCTACAGGAGCCCGTTCAATGACCATGGTGTTGATTGATTCTTAGAGTGACCGCTCCAGCAATTTCGTATTGTGGTGTGGACGATGTCTGCGTGGTCTGTGCTGCAATTGTGGTGGCATGCATGGAAGTGCCTTGCTGGGACCGCCCCGGACGCATAGTGAGAATAACGAGGATCAATGTAGAACGAAGGCCAGGCTCGAAGCATGAGAGGATGTGTTGAGAGCGTGGGCATTGGTGTGCGCAGGACCCAAACGGGACCACCAACGACATGGCGATGGGCCTGTGGAGTGGCAAGCTGAAGCACCGCATGGCCACGCAGGGCGGCTACTCCACCGTTGACCTCCTCAACCTTACAGCCCTCATCCCCGACAGGTGCTTGCTCCCCTCATCCACATTTTTCGGCAACACAGATAATTACCCATGTTTGAAAGTGGTGAACATCGGTCACATCTCAGCGGTGTCCTAGCCAGCAGGGCCAGGCCCCCCCAGCCTGCTTTCTCAAAAGGCCAAGCGAGTATGTCAACATGGACTCCTGCTGCTGCTAGCACCGGCATGCCAGTGTTTCTTTTGAGCATGCTTCTATCTGCATTTGTGCATCAGACCTGTTCCTGTCAGACTGGTCTGCATGAAGGCATGTGGTAATGCATCAGTTGAGGATATGACACTTTACTAGCGGCAGCTTCTGAGTCGAGCAATTGCGGCTGGGGCGCAGGTACCTTGAGCAGCTGCCGCCAACGCTGTTTGTCACGGAGCTAGTGGCGCGCGGCGCGGTGCAGATGAGTAAGCATTACATCGTGCAGTGCCGCCTCGGCTTCCTCACTGACCGCCAGCTCACCAAGCTGCAGGTGCGCGCATGCTGCCTGCTTCTCAGTTGCACACCAGCGTCACAGGGAGTGAATATGCACCCCTGACATTGTCAGTAACAACAATGGTGCTGCGTGCAGCCGCATACATGTTTGTAGCTTGCGATGCAGTGGAGTTGGCTACACGACTGTTGAATTCTGTGCTCTGATGCCTGCTCTGCAGCAGACTGTTGACCCCTTTGTCTGATGGACAGGCATCACAGCTCAATTCCTTTACTGACCCTGCAGAAGGTTCTCAACATATGTCTTTGTGACGTATTGTGTGCTTTACACATCAACGAAAATCGTCTTCTTTGGCTAAGGCGTGATGTGCACTGGAATTGCAGCTGCTGGCGAACAGCAAGCTGGTGGCGGTGTGTCAGCTGCAGCACTGCAAGCTCACCCTGGTGCCCTACATTGAGGCGCGCTCGGGGCAGCTGCGCATTATGGGCTTCCTCATAGCCGATGACCTCGGCACATGACGTCATCAGTGCCGCTGATGTCACCTCCCTGTGCCTGATCTGGCAGTGGCCATGATTCCATGGGAACGACTGTTCATGCCGGGGGAGTCTCTCAAAGCTCTCGCCTTGGTGGCTTGATAAGGCTGTACGCCTCTTGTGCTGCAAAAGAGGTGGCATTGTCAATTGTGCTGGCTGCTGCCTTTGTTGCCCTTCCGTGCGACAGCACCATCACAAGCTTGTGATTTGTGGATGGATCTGCTTGTGGCAACATGCACAGTGTCCACAGTGTATGCTGCGGAGGGTTAGAAATGGCAAGCTTGTAGCTGCCAGGCAATTCCCTAATAAGTGTGCCAGCGACTGGGCGGATTTCCTGCTTTTGGCGATCTCTGTGTTGAATATCCTGCGGCTTTCAAACTGCAAAATACTGCGAGGAGCCTATTGCTTTATTGACCCAGACACGCCCACACAAGGACTCCTCACTGTTATTTGCTTGATACCTACCGACCGCCTCACAATGATCCAGGGGTTAGCGTTTGTCAGGCTCGGCTGTACATAAGCTTGGGGTGTATTGGAGGTGGCCAGTGCAGCAAATGTTCCGAGGCAGTGCAACAGCGCCCTCTCCAGCCTGATGCAGCCTTGTGGTGTCTAGGATGTCAATTCAAAGATTTTTGGAAGCAATCAGGACCCTAGCAAAGCGTTAAGGTGCTCTGTACACGCAGCTGAAGTGGCCGTAGTGCAAGCCAATAAAGCTGTATGTATACAGATGCAAAGCAGACGGTATTTTTGACCAGTGACTATGAAGCGCAGCTGCTTGCAATTGTGAGACCTGCCGTGTGAAGGTCTGTGACATTCAGCTGTTGTCACATATAATGCTTGTAGATCACACAAGGTGGGATGCTTTATCATGCTGTAGCTTTGCGGCATCAAAGCCTTCACTTGTACAACTTTTGTTGCTTGCCGATGGTCTTTGGCTGTAAGGAACACATACGCTGCTTGCTTAGAGTGTGCTGGTGTGCTATTGGATGATGGAGGATGGTATCAAAGTCATGACTGATAATGTAAAATTTTCACAACAGTAGACTATTGTGAGCTTAGTCTGAATGGGGCCGCCCTGGCCGGCTGGCACAATGTAAGCAAGAGTATCGGTGCCAGGACTCCTTCTGTTATCATCAATGCTCGTGTACAGAAGGTGCTCAACATGTGTTAGCGACTTAATGTGATGTGCTTGCGTCGCACCAATTGAAGAGCAAAGCGCAGGTGATCAGCTTTACAAATCATACATATGTCCTCGCACGGTCAACCTCCCCAGAATGACCAAGCTCATAAGCATCAAGCTGACTTCAAGCAATAAATTCCTCTTGACATATCAAAGTACAGCTGTGGATTCAGATGAAGTCACTGCGCTAACTTCAAGCCGTGAAGATGCATTGCATCAAGGGAAACTCATCCCATCTATCATGCCGCATGCTTCCGCGCAGCATGCCGCGGCACCACCACGACATATCTGATGGATACCATTTTGTGCTTCATGGTAGAAGCCGTCACAAGTGCCTCTGCTGCCACTCAGCCTCTGCTTGGCGGTCAGGGGGTTCCATCATCAAGATCTGCCCTTGGTGCTCATTGCACAAGCACTTCCTTGATGTGTGACAACTTCAACGGATGCAGCGACGGTCCCCAGTGGTCAGCAGCATACTCAGTCTGCTGTGGGTTCACATCAGAGTAGCACGGAGCCAATTCTGCTGCTGCAGACTGCGTCTAGACGGAGAACGCGTCTCCAAAGTTGATGATGACGAACGCTGATGCTGAAAATAATCCCAATGCCCTCAAGAGCGCCTGCACAAAGCCAGCAAGAGGGAGGGCTAAAGGTTTGTCTTCTATTGGTGAGCTTCTAGCTCTGCTCACAAAGTTGATCTACTTGACATATTATCAGAATGAGGTAAAATTAAGGATAGAGGCAAGGACAGATGCTCACAAGGTTGGCCTTGAACTTCTGCTCATCGTTATATTCAGATGCTAGCCACGCTTTCCACTTCTCGGCGGGCGTCTTTGCCTTGCTGGGCGGCAGCGCCTTTGCTGGTGCCATGTCGTAACACTATGTCCGTATCGATTCAACTTGATCAGACAACAGTGCTCCTTGAGCAGGTGCACTGACTTGGGTGCACTGCAGTGCCTGATCAGGGCCTCACCCCTGGAAAATTATAGAACCCTACCGAAATGCACAAGGCGCGATCGAGCTGAATCTCGCTCACTTGAGTCTTGTATAGCGCTGCAGAGATGAGCGATGTTTCGGATTGCAGCATCTCTGTTTCTCGCATGCATACTCTGCCCTGAGGCCCTTTGTGCAGTCACCATCCAGTCATCCAAGAAGGCTTCTTCAAGACGCTGTGGCCCTGTCCGATTAGATATAGTTGAAGGCGGTGAAGAGAAGAGAGAGAGTCAATACAAAATTATTATCGGGGTCAGAAACAGGACGACGGACGTCCCCACTATCGTGCGTGCCAGAGGGATTCCTTGTGCCACAGGCTGCTGCACTTACGAGTCTCATCTGAGATCAGGTAGACACCTCTTCTAAAGGGCGCATTGTGACAAATCAGCTCGGGATGAACGGCAGTTACCTTCAAAGGGTGCCTTCAATAAACTTGAACCTTACCTGATGTATATAACTGGATGTGCAGGTGATAATGACCTACGAACCCTTGAGCGTCTCTACAAGGACCGCAGCCTGCGATTCCTCAATGACCTTCAGCATGAGCCGCAGTCTATCCTGGTCGCTGACAGCGGGGCTGGCCTGGAGACAGCCCTCATCGCCAGCATGTTCCCAGCAGCATCCATCCTGTGCGCGACTAAGGACGCGGACAGCCTCGTCCACAGGAATGTTGGCAACATCCCAAACGTGCGCGTATGCAGCGCCAGCGCACAATGCAGCATCGACAGTCCTCCCGCCAGCAGCAGCTTCACAAAGGGATCAACGCCTGCAGAGGAGGAGCAGCCGGGCAGGTCAGGCACTGCGCAGGCAGGCGGGAGTTTTGACATCGTGTTGCTGACAGCAAGCACAGATTGGGCAGCGCTCAAGGCGGCAGGCATTGCAGACTCTGAGCAGCTGGCTGCAGCGGGCATATTGGTGGTGGATAGTGGTGCCTGGGAACTGCCCAGGAGCACAGGGCCCTTCCGGCAGCACCGCCGGTCCTTCTTCATGGGCTGGGACATCTTCACTCCCCCGGACAGCAAACCCTTTAGGGGCGCGCAGCCGCCGGCCGCCCCGATCAGACAGGGCAGCGTGAAGATATTCTACCACGTCGCAGCCAAGGATCACTACAGGTCTGTGGTGATGGAGCACATGAGCCGGCTGCTCTTCAGCGGCCTGTACGATCGCACAGAGGGCGTGTACTGCTTCGTGCTGGCGGAGACGGCGGAAGCTTCCACGGAAGCTTCCATACTGCTTCGGTCCTTCGGCGCGAAGGTGCACATCGCTCAGACGTCCACGGAAATGGCCCAGTACGAGCGCTTCACCCTTTCCGGCCTTCGCGCGCACCTGGCGCCGGACGACGTGTTCCTGTACATGCACAGCAAGGGGCTGCGCCATGACCAGAGCAATATGAACATCTACTGGTGGACCTTCTACATGCAGTACTTTGTGCTGCGCGAGCACGAGCGCTGCATTGAGCTGCTGAGGAAGTGGGACACGGTGGGGGTTGACTTCAACACAGCGCGCCCGGTCGAGGGCGTGCGTCTGCACTACAGTGGCAACTTCTGGTGGGCGCGTGCGGATTACTACCTGCGCCTGGACGCCAAAATAGGCAGTAACTACCTCGACCCGGAGTTCTATGTGGGCTCGGGCGACAATGGCCGGCACTTCTCGCTGTGGCAGTCCCAGAATGACATGTACAAGGCGGAATACCCACCCAAATTTTTCACTGATGCTGCGCCGGGCGTACGGCACTGGCTGCTGAGCTAGACTGCCCCTGTTCATTGACGTCACTTTCTACAAACGTGACTAGTCCTGTGACAATTCGAGTGCGGCATAGCTATAGGCCCTGAAAGCACAGCTGCCCAGGCTTGCTGCCCCTATCACGCACTGCAGGCTATTTGATGGAAAATACTGCCAGTGAAGCTCGCGTGTGACTCTGAATTGCAATTGATTGCATGCAAGCGTGTGCGGGGGATGACATGTGAGATCATTACATAGGTATTTCTGAGATAATCATGACTTTTAAGTAATCACAACTTCGATCTCACCACTGAAAACTGGACCTCTGCCGGCGCGCAAGGACTCTCTTCCGGATGGCTTTGCTGCCGGATGGGAATGCCCTTGCAGCCGGCGGATATATTGGCGCTTTCTCAGCACGACTGCCGTTGACGTGTACAACTACATGAGCGATGTATGGAATGCGACGGGGCGCATGCTAAACACGACCTATGGGCGGTACTACCACGAGATGCAGCTTCTGACAGCAGCATGATGCGATGGTTTGGCATGATGACAATTCCCTTAAACGCATCAAATTCGGACAAAATTACAGAAGGCTAGATGGGGACCGGACGGATACCAAGAAAGGGCAGCCCATGAGTTCGCTTTGGAAAGTACTTTTACATCCTGTTTGGCTGCATAGACTAGGACTTGCAAATTTCGGCATGATTGTACGCAGGGAGAGGACTGGCATTGTTGTGGGTCTTGGTGACCTATACCGTTATAAGACAGAGTCAAGTGTGTGTTTGTTGCCTTGCAATTGCATTTGCAATGCTGATTCGTTGCAATGGTGTGTGAGTGTGAATACGGTCCTTTGGGATGAGCTTCCGTTGAGAATATGAAAGGGCATGCAAGAAGCTCATGATGTTGAAAACACAGACTCGGATGTAAAGGGACATATCTTCCAGCATGAGTGTCTGTAGCATCCCACCATCTGTTGGAATCCCATTTCAGGCCTTTGGACCACACAGGAGAAGAATCACGCCCGGTCTTCCTGAAATGCTACAAGAGAGCCGCTAAAGTACTTTGAGCTCAAGTTTAGGGTGTGCAACATCAAAATGGGGCATGCAGGGGCCAGAATTGTTCCACACCAAAGCTCCTTAGCACGAGCGAGCCTGAACAATACTGGCAAGCAGATGGAAACCGTTGCCAACATTGCAGACTCATGGAATCTCATTGGCCTCCCGACTGGCATGATAAGCAGGATCCCAAAACTTCCATATTGCCCCCGTGGTCTTCACCAGCGCAATCGAAGCTGCCCAGCACACTGCATGTGCATGATCCCATCCTAAACAACTTGCTATGTAGGCTCATCCAGCTGCGAAAGCTGCTGCTCCATTCTTGCAATGTGCACATCCTTGAAAACGATTTCTTGACTCTGAGCCCAACGTTAAATAACTTGAAATGCTCCATGCCTCCGCTGTGAGCGCTGCTGGCAATCTTCCATGCAATCATCCCTGCACCAAGCCCGATGACTGAACGGACCTCCTGTTACATGCGTCACTTTGCTCCCTAACATCTTCTCCCTCCGAGGTCTACATTTCATTTTCTGTGATCATTATGTCTGAAACGGTCTCAGCTGCTCCACTCCGGCTGGGCTGCGGCGGGAGCCAGCTTGAGCTTCCGCGCAGCCTGGATCACATGCTCAAAGGACTCTGCAAAGATGCGGATGTACTCCACGTCACAGTCTCCCAGCCTCTCTGGGTGGAACCCGCTGCACATGGAGCAACCGGCAAAGTGGACTATGAACGCTGGCTTGTCCACCCAGGGCTTGTCCACATCCTTCCACCTGGAACACGGCAACAATGATACACGTCAGTAAATAATTCTTTTTTGTATATCATGACAGGGAGGCAGGTCAGGAAGAGGAAGAGTTCTCCCTTCCACCTGACCACACGGCGCAGCACGCCAGGAGCTGTCTTTCCCTGGGGTCTGAAATCTTCTCTGATACAATTTAACAATGCAGATTCGAGTACCAGGAGAATTTGTGTCTGTCAGGAAAGCACGTCAAGAGAGCAGAAGATGTGTTCCTCCTTTCAAAGCATCCTCTTACAATTCCAATTAAACTGACACTCCCTCTGTCGAGCAGAAAACCTCACACGGCCGTGCTTCTCCCCAGGACTTGGCGAAAATGCCCATCCCCCAGCATGCAAGCAAAGTTGCCAAACCTTGCTGTCTTAGAAGTCAAGTCCTGTTGTACAGCAGGGAAGGAAGAGATGTATAGGGAGGGCAGCTGCGCACCAGCAATTCAAGCCATAGGCGCTGATGTCAAAGACCACCATGTCCAGCAGCTCCGGCTTGGTGTAGAAGAGGAAGGTCAGCACATTCTGCTCGTACAGCCCCACCTCGTACGAGGGCAGGTTCGCCCTCAAGTGCTGCACACACCCACAGCATTCTTCTCAGCACAGCTTTAAAATAGAACTCAAAAGAGTCAAGTCCGAAACGCGCCAAAATTGAGTCTCAAATAGGATAAATTGAGTCTCACGTGCAAGCACAAATCTGGGGTTTGAACACGCATCTTTGGAAGGAGGTCATCAGTTCTGATGGAACAGCAACTTGTCTGCTAGCCTTTGTGCATAGCTGTGCAACCAGACCTTGTAAAAGACTCGGGCCGCCCAGACATGTGAAGCCTGAAGTGTTTACTGCTTGAAGAAAATTTTCAAAGAACTCACCTCCTCCTTGGCAATGTCCATGGGGGTGGTGCCGTAGGCAGCCATCTGGGCAAACAGGTCCCTGTTCCAATCAGTGTTGCGCAGCAGCAGCACTCCCGAATTCATTCCTGCAAGCACCATCAGTACTCTTCTCTCAATCCACAATGCCTTTTATCCCTGCCAATGCTGAGTAGCTTGTGTGGCTTACACTGCTACATTTTATCAGATGCTGAACCCCATGCTTCAATCTGCAAAAACCTTGCCGTACACTAACCCTTCAGGTCTGAACTTTGGGACTTTTTGCATTCCATTTCATTAAGCCTCTCTCATTTAAAGCAGCCTGTGCGCATTCTCAAGCACAATCCACACTCCACACAAAACCCCTGAAATTCTCAGGGAATAGAGAAAGTAGCGCTTACCCTTGCGCGCCTCGCCTTGCAGGATGTACTCGGCCTGCCCGTGCATGATGAGGTCCTTGCCCTCGTAGCTGTCCAGGGGCATCACAAAGTCCATCTTGTCTATCAGCAGATCCATGTCCAGCCACAGAATCCACTCCGCCCTCTCCCGAGGAATCTCCTGCAACGCCTGCAGCGCAGCCACCAACCACTTGATCACTCTCAAATTCAAAGGCACTTTTGAAATGCACTTTTTCTCTTTACGCATGCTCAGGGACAACAGGGCACCCATGTCACTGATCCATGTCCGCCTCTCACAGGCCTTCCACAAAAAGCTCTTGATATCTGTTTTTCTCATTGACAGGAGGTTCATGAGAGAGATGGACACGACAACTGACATGGCTGTACTGCCATTCTTAATGATTGAACTTCCCACTGAAGCTGAGGCGACACGTGACCACGCTGTTTGCCAGCGTCAGAGCAGTGGCAGCTCTGACGCTGGTATGCAGCCTGCCCAAGTGTCAGCCTCAGACATTTTGAAGTAATCAGACTTGCTCCGGAGCAGACTGAGCTGACACATGCAGCTTCCATGACGCAATACCGATGCAGTGCAAATTCCTCAGAATCTCAGGTGTTGGCCCGCTCAGCACTCCTCACTGTTCTAGGTCCCATGGTTTCCATTTAGAAACCTGTCTTTCCCCCTCCTGGGGATATGAGAGGTAGCCTGGCTCATCCATTGACCTTTCCCATTCCCCATTTCCCGAAGAAGAAGATTCGCCAAAGCAAAGAAGAGCTGCATGGGATCATGGTGCGCACCTTTTGGATGAACCCAACTTTCTGCCAGGGCCCGGCGCGGATGTGCGAAGTGACGGCCTCCGCCATGAGGTGAACCTCGTAGGAGTGCAGCCGAGCGTAGTCCTGCTTGTTCTGCATGCTCAGGCTGAGCAGGTAGTCCCCGTAGGGGTTGGTGCACGGCGCAGTCGGCACTCCGGTCACTATCACTATCCGCTCCTTCGCGTCGGCTGCCTCCAATCCAGCGCGCGACTGGTGCTTGCCTGTCCCGGCACACCAGAAATAATTTAAATCTTTGCCCAACGACATGTCCGCGGTGATATACCGTACTACAAAAGTTCAGGTTTTCATATTTCTTCCTCACAGTAGCAAGTGCGGTAAGCAAAGGTTCTTGACAAGAGCGAGAGGTGCTTATGACAATTTTGGACATACAGCCTCTTGCTGTCTGCTCTGTTCTGAAGTGCATCACTGATGATACTACCGACATCCTACAGACTTCAACCAGCCAATCTTGTCAACCACAAGCGGCATCTGATGACTCTGCTGGTGCGGGCATGCAAGACACTGGTAGTATCACCACTCTCACGTCAGCAACAAGACCGCGAGACACGGCGGCACATTGTACCAATCATCAATTCCTCTACACACCACATCGCTGCAGCAGGCGTCTACTACACTTTGCACGCCATGTTGAGGTGACAGAGTAGAAGAGCACCTGTGACGTAGCCGGACTCAAAGGATGAGAAGCTGGGCCCACGGTTCCAGTTCTGGGGAATGGTGTCGCGCGGCAGCTGCATGAGCTGGCAGCCGTGGTACGGGTAGTGGCCGTTGAACTCCCCATTGTCGTCGCAGCCCGCCTTGTGGGCGCACCACACCCAGAACTCGCACCTGCGCACCACAAGCACCACCCCTCAATTGCATGCTTTGGTGACGTGCAAAGTTCTCTGTGGCATCAAAATAAACTTTAGATGTGATCGGTGGCAACAGCTGGCTGGTTGATGTGTCAGAAGCAGGCACTGCCGGCCACACCAGACAAGCTGGCTTGAGCAGAGACCTTTATGTTCAGGCGGGGCTTCCAATGCAAAGGGTTTACGGGGGTAGTTATGGGCAAATGTCTGCTCAGCCTTTCTTGAGGCTGAAAGTTGCTTGATGTGCTGAGACCAAAAGAACCCAATACTTCAGCTACTCCATACCACAAAGTACAGCTATGGCAACAGCCCTGAGTCGACACCTTCTGTTACCGGATGCCAGCGGAACGGAGTGAGGGAAGAGGGCAGCATGCAAATAAGGTGAACACACCGGGAGTCGGCGAGGCAGTGCTGGTAGCACTGGTCGCCGGTGGCAGCCTGCAGCTTGGTGGCCGACTGCAGGATGACATTGCGCGCGCGGTCGGTGTAGTCCCCGCTGAAATTCAACAAGTTTTGGGG